TTGCTATACTTGGGATTTGAGTTCAACCAATAGTCAACCAATAATAGCAACTGTTATGTAAATTTTCAGGGCAATCATGTCATGCAAATTCTGGACAACAATGAGGGGACGATACTTTTAGAAGTTCGTTCCAGAAGTAACGCTGTATGGTGGAAGCTTCACATGACCAACAATCGGTCAACCATTACCGGGTTCACCAGGCTATTACTACTATAGTTTGAGGACAAAAAAGGTAGTGTTACATTAGAGAGTGGAACATCTGACAAGACAGGAGTGTTTGAAGTACACCTGCGATTCGTTATCATGTCGAATCAAATTCCCTCGTGGCACGGCTTTGACCAATCTGCCCGCTGCAGTGAAGGCTTTCATCAGGGAAAATACTCATGTACACAGAAATCATAAATATGTCAGATGCTCCTTCACACTCTCAGCTGCTGCTCTTCAAAATGTCATTCACTCTCCAACGTAATTTGTTTCTAATAATTGGGTAAGAATGTAAAAATGTCACTGCATTCCAGTATGAATCCTGATTGATTTCCCACTAACAACGAAGCAAAATGGCAGTTTTTAGATGTGTGTGCGTCTGTGTGTATACACACAGATGCTAAAGATATGAAAGAAATGGCAACAGGCCTTATGCGCAGATAAAAATTAAAGGTATGAAAGAAATGGCAACAGGCCTTATGTTTCCATGTCCTCGCTTCTGTAGTGTTGGGAAGACCGAGTCTTTTTACTGACTCGGATCTTTTGCTCTGGAACAGTAAATTGAACGAATCTTGAACGGGTCATTTCGTTCATTTTTACAGCAGGTGGCGCTGTAGCCCTCCTGTGATCGTTGTAAAGAAGGCCATAGTTCTCAAACACTAAATATTGAAGGCGGTCTCTGGTAGCTTTCACGTGACAAATGAACGAGATCGGAGTACGAACGTACTGTTCTCCGCACAACCTGACGTGTGAACGATGAACGAGAACAAGACAAATAAACGTGCAGGATGAACGAGAACGAAAAAATGCCAGTTCAGTCGGCGCTGCCTGTCACGACAGCTGCTGGAGGACAAGTGAATGTAAAAATCATGTTGACAATTCTCTAACAACCCCCCCCCATTTACACTTTAAACCTTGCGATCCCAACTATCCTCCCTTTGGAACTGGGTGTGGGGATCCTCTTTGTTTTCTCCATGGTCGGTCAGAAATGAAAAAGTGTCTCTGATGAGAGGTGAGGTCCTGCTGCGCAATGTTTACGATGCAGGATTCCGGAGAGTTGAAAGCCAGGCACTGCACTGATATTGTGTAACAACCAGTACCTGACACATGCCTCCCATTAGTCCAGACAGTGGTTTTAAGCCCTCAGCATTGCCAGCCCTCAGCTTAGAGTGTTAATTAGCATTGCACTGTCAACACAACCCGCTCTGTTTCCAACAAATCCAATCTTGCTCTAAACAAATTGCTGGAGTAATTACATTTCAGTCAGAGTTGATGTGTGCTGTTGTGATTCTATTAATCAATTTAGCAAAGGGCAGCCACAGAAAATAATAAATGACAACTCATGAGAGAGAAAGAGAGAGAGAGAGAGAGAGAGAAAAAAAACACAAAAAAATATTAAAATCATTTATTGTGCTCCAGAAGAGTAATTTCTACTTAACCAGAAAGAAAGACAAGTGACAAATAATGTACAATACAAATGCCAGCCCAGATCACATAGTGTCCCATGTTTCAAATGGCATTCAAAAAAAACAAAAAAAAAACAAAAACAAATCCACTTTTTTGGGGGATTTCAGACTGCGAAAGAAAACCTCTCAAGATGAATCTGAGGTTCGGTTGTTGTCAATTCGGTTAAGGTTAGAAAATGGCACATTGTGTTACATACATTCGCAGTGCTTGTACTTCCCCTCCCCCCCCCTCCCATCACAGGGCAGATGCACACTGGGAAGTGAAACATACCCCTAGAACAGGGTTTCTTACATTTTGTGTGGTTCCAAAGAGTGTGGGTTTAGTCTAATCCAGCTTGTTGTAACACACGTGGTTGTCTGGATTGAAGAGAACTAAATGAACGCTGACTGATTTTCTTTTTCATTTTTCAATCTTTCTGACACACAGCTTAAAAAAAAGAAAGGGATGATGGATAGGTTTTGCCTGCAAGCCATGCCCAGATGATTAAATCAAATCATATTTAAGTCGTCTTCAAATCAACACATGGTTGAATGGATCAAAAAATAAAACAAACAAACACAAGGGAAATTAGGCACATTGCAGAAGTTATTGATGAGAGTAGAGCTGAAAAAATAAGCTGATGGTAAACTTCTAATTGGTGTAAATTTCATCATCGTGAAGAGGCTTATTTACTTTAGTATGTCTGTGAGATGCTTTAATCAGTCAAATCTGGTTCCAAGTAACCAATTGATTTTTATCACATAAGTATGACTGATAATAATAGTCATTCTGTATAGTCTGCTCTCCGTGATGTGCATGACTGCACTGGGATGTGGTGGTTTTTGTTATAGCATCCGCCTCACAAAAATGCTCCGAGAAAACGAATCACAAGATGTATTTTTCGGAGCCTGCTAGATCGAAATGACGAGATTTTATACCACATTACGTGTGGATTGATTCATATGGGTCAGGACCAGACCTCCAGACCACCCTGTCATAAAGGCTATACGAGTTTACCTTTAACCCTCGATACATTTTCTTAGCCCTTGAAGCTCACATTGTAAAAAGCGTGTCCACGTACTTAAAAAGTTATATTTTTGTTTTCAGGAAAAATAAATAAACATGTCTCTAACATTTCGATGAAAACCAAGTCATGTATAATTGATTTCATTAAAAATGCTCAGTAATGTCTGTGAGGTAGGAAATGGAAAACGACACAAGTAGCCTGGAAACGTTGATTCATTTGTCATTAATGTTTAAATACGACGCACCAACATCGCTGTCATAGCTGATGGCGGCACTCTAAGTGTTATGTCAATTGCGCTCATCGGCTTCTAGCCAGAGGTTTAAATACAAACGTGTACGTAGCAGTTGAGTGTGTTTGCTAAGGTCCAGTGCACCGACTTTACTGATAGACCGGGCCGAGTTGCACAAGTTAGCAAAAGGCAGGTGACTGATTGAACTGCGTTAACGGAGTCAAAGATTGCATTTATAGCTCTTCTATCTCTTAGCGCTGTGGCTAGTTCGTTTTATGGTTCTGCACTGATGTAAGCGGCACATGATGCGGGAGTGACATGGTATTTTATTTGACCTGAACCGTCGTAGTTTGGTTCATGTAGACACAGACGAGTACGTCTGAGTGGAAAATGCATGTAGATTTGGTAGAACCCACACCCAGGTTAGGGGGCAGTAATGAGCAGTTCGCCTGCTGCCATTGAAAGAAAGTTAAAAAAAAATCTCACTGTGCCGAAAATATGGTCAGTTTCAATGATTTGCAGGAGGAAGACCCTCCGCGTCGTTTACGTCTGCTGCGTGGGAAAGTTGACCCAAAAATTTAGCACTACGCTTCAGTGTGATTGGTTAGGAGTACAGTCCACTGTGAGATAGAAGAAAAGAAAAATGAAGCAAACAAAACATAAGCATAAAACAAAAGAAGCAAAACTAGAGAGTTTATGTAGATGCATAAATGACTAATTGGCCTGTATCTATTATAATGTAGGGCGGTGTACTTTAAAAACACTGTTCTGGTCATTTGAGTTGGCCATGATAAAGCATAGTACATTGACTTTACACCAGCATTTCCACATTGAATCACGTATTCTGAGAGAGAGAATTCTTTTTTGGCATATGGGATCTTGCATTAAAATGCATTCTAATGCATCTTGCATCAAGCCAAAATAAAAAAATAAAAAAAACCCAGAATTTTTTAAACTTCAATTTAAAAACCTGCAGGTGCCACACTTTTGTGGGTGTCCTTACACGTGGACTTTTAATGTGTCTATTTAAATTTAGCATTCATCTTCATCAATCATTAATAAACATGACCCTGTCATCGCTTGACTACTCACCCATCACTGCAAATGAATGTTTGATTTTCTGGCCAGGCTTCAGTCTACGCCTAAGAATGACTGGGTTGGATGCTTACTAACGACGGGTTGCTCGATACAACTTGATCATGTCCAATACCACAACTGCAACTCGGAGTATCTGCCCATACCAGTATTCATCCCATACCTTCTTTTCTCCTGCCGTTGTGAGGTGATAGTGTCCTTGTTCACAGCATGACATTTGGACTAAGTAATGGATCAATTTTGACCAATTCTGGACCAATACCGATCCTTAGTATCAGATCACACCATCCCTACGAATGACCATAACATCTATATTTCCATATATTAGTACCACCTTCCTCCTGAATTGAAAGGATTTCCTGTTATATTTTAATTATATATTGGGCAACCAAAGGTTCATGTTTAAACTGTGTATTTTGAAATCATTCACTTTAAAAATACTCCAGTTGTAACTTTAATCACCAATGCAGTAACTTAACACAGTAGTCCAAATGGCCAATGGAGGAAATGTAAGAACCCAGTGGTGGTTTGAACAGGTAACACTCCATTGCTGGAACCAACCTAATTTGATATGGCCTTTGTGACTGGTGCAGGTTGGTGGCCTTCGAAAACGGTTTGATCGCAGCAGAGCTGGCAGCTTGATCCTTTCGCTGTATTTTCCGAAATAACACACGCCTTGGACATTATCTGGCCATGCACCGAGGGGGGGAGAGGAGGGGGGGGGCTTACATTCATCCACAGGTTTACAGCACAATTACAGCCAAACCACTGTTTGGCTTTTGGCAGGCATGGGCAAACTAAGGCCCGGGGGCCAGATGTGGCCCGTTCAACTTTTTCAAAATTATATAATTTATCTGTATTATCATTATACTTCAGCCTTTTTCCTGCAATTCCCATGCAATACCCCAATAGGTGGTGTAAAAAATGGTAAAAGCATTTTAGCATTTTAGCCTTTATGCATGACTTTTACAAGTCATCTATCTGCTCCTGGTGTTCAATTTTAGGACAATTGTGGCCCGCGAGTCTAAAAGTTTGCCCATGCCTGATTTTGGGTGTTTTCCAAGATCCCTTACCATATCTTGGCAAATGAACAGTGTGAAGTCAAAAGATTCTAACATGAGAAAAAAGAAAAAGCAATTTCTCTACATATCCTTATTTCTTCATGACACTTATCATCACATGAATCCCTTTTGAAAAATCACGTCAAGTTATCTTTGCTGTGTCTGAGGTTTGTCTTAGTTTTTTTGGGGAAAAAAAAAAGATTTGGATCAAAACATTTTCATCAGCTTTGTACTTTGTAAAAACTAAAATGATAGAACTTGTCTTGCTGTGAGCTACAGTATGTTGCTGTGAACCAAAGTGAAGTGATGTTGGTTTTTTATTATAATAAACAAATCTTCAGTCTGTTTACAGTGTGTTGGGCTGTACAAAACAACTTTAAAACAAGTAAAATAACAAAGGCATGTATGTCTGCGATGTGTACAGCAGGGGTCGCCAACCTTTTGAAACAGCGATCATTGCAAGTGTAACTGATTCAAAAAGCACAGTAACAGTACAGTTTTTGATCCTCTTGATGACTAGTTTTGTTCTTAGAACCTACCCATGGGCACCTTAGGTAGTCCAAGGGGCGCTACCAGCTATCCCCGTGCACCACATTGGTGACCCCTGGTGTGTAGTACTACATAATACATGTTTCTTTTTTTCTGGTTTGCTTTTAAGCCTCATACCCCATAACAGCTTTTCACTGCAACCAATGGCAACCAACTGGTCGAAAGCTATCACTAAAGGTGTTTTCCTAGTACTGAGTGTTTTATTTCTCTTCTAAATGGTAGTTTAGTTAGGAAGGTCAACAATGTCATCGGTTTGGAGGTATTTTAACATCAGTGACAAAGACAGGGGCATCTTGAAGATTTGTTCTGTTATGGTAGGATCAATTTAGTAAAAGATTTAAAGATGTGCCATACCGCCGGATACACCAATGGGTCTTCTCAGTTTAACGCCACAAAGGTTCGATGAAGACTTTATGCCCCACCAAGTCATTTTTAAAGATGTTAAGACTTGTTTATCAAACATTGTGTGTGTTAATTACTTTATTGAAACTTGGAAATACTTCACTTAAAAGTTAGAGGTTGAAATCCGCTACTGGTGTAAAAGCTCTGCTGACTTCGAAGTAGCCTTCTGCTAACGAGAAGTAAACGATAATGGCTGTAAGCATATACATGCTTGGTGTCCTCACCGTGGTTTTGGTTGAGCTCACAAAAAGACCTCAAGTCACCTTATTACCCACACAGCAGTACCTCCTATGTGACATTGCCATTCGGTTCACAGCATATTAAAATCCAACCTCAAGAAGTATCGGTGACAATATTCGGTATGAGCCAGTATAAAAATGTAAATACTCCTACTCCTACTATAGGCTCGTACAAAACAATGACAACCCTAGTTCGCACCTTTCTTGCAATCACAACCCGTCATGCTGACCGCTAGTCTTCAAGTTTCCAATATCGTTTCAACAGATTCCCAGGATACATTTTTTAAAAAATTCCCAAAAATCTCCACATATTTTAGCTTCTATACACTCTGTCGCATAACGACAAAATATTTTATCTGTTCCTTTGTTTTCATTTCAGTCAAAAGGATTTCCCAGTCATGCAGCTTATCCGCTGCAGTATTTCTTGGGGTAACACGCCACACTCGATCCGCCCCCACGTAGCTTCTATCTATCAAACTTTCTTTTTCTGTTGGCTTTTATTGATAGCTTTGCTGACATAAAGATTTTGGCAGACAGGCATCGCAGGATACGGTGAAAGCTCTGTCGGCGCAAGGAGGACTCATGTAGCTCAACAAACTAACCTGGCAGTTAGTAATTAAACAGAAAAAGGGGATAAAATAAGACGATTAAATGTGATATTCTCCTAAAAACTGGCTGATCTGGCTGTTGGTCTTACCTGACCTAGAAAGCATTTTGCTACCTTTTAAAAAGTAACTTGTAGAAAGTACGTATTTTCCAAAAGTGATCAAACCTGGGTTATACTGCACTGGACCAGAACACTTCCTTTCATCCACAGCTTCACAGTTGCAGTTTTACACAAGGGTATCCGGTGTAATCTGCCTGTGCTTTGCCTGTGAATTGTTTTGAGTAGAAATGTGAGTTCAAAGAGCTCCACAGAACCTGACCGGATGAAGTAGAAAGTAAAGCTAGAAAGTAAAACTCAAGAGATTTTTCTGCATTTTCTTTTTTCTTTTTTTTTTTCTCGTTTTACATAAATATGTGTTGAAGGCTTCACACAACATCTCTCATCCTGTTAAAGAAATGAAATGTGTAATGGAATAAACAATGCGGGTAATTCTATACGGTAAAGTGGTCATATACTAGGTACAATAGCAAATAACACTGTTTTTCAACTGAATAGACAATGAGTCTGATTGATACACTGTAAGGTGATTTTAACACTATCAAAAAGTAGTACCAACACACAGATTACAAAACTAGTCCTTATATGCCTTTGTCCTTTGTCCGGAACACATCCACGACCCGAGCCTCATTTTTCATCGTCCGGTGAGGGCGTCTCCTGTAGTCCAAACAGGAAACTGTCAGATATGACTCCAATGCAAAGGAGAGGATGAAAATTATTCTTAATAATGACATAATCAGCAGAGCAGCCATCAAGCAGATAAATTGTCATGCGCATCGTGCTAAAATATCCAATTATCCTTTGTCCCCAAGCTCTTGGTTGGAACTGCCAGAAAGCCAACAGGTGGATCCTCTTGTCCCACATGTTTAGTCCTGCCAGCAGAGTTGCGGTATAGGTGTCAAACCTCCTAAAATATGAGGGCCTTAATCAGCCTTGGTGCTTAGCGTACAGGTTCTAGATATGTAAAACCGTCTTATAGTCGTCCCTAATTTCCAAAAATAAAATGGATGAAAATCATCTGTGATCACGTCTTACTCAAAATGATTCTCTTGTGCATACGGCGTTTCTGTATTCCTCAGTTTTTCCAGTCCATCCATTTGTTTGTTTCAAAAGTTCTTTTCGCCTTATCTTACGCAGCCTCCGGTTTTCAAAGGTAGGTGTCCTCTCGACGAAAAACTTGAAGAGCAGTGCCACGGGAAAACGACGTTCTCTTTCTTTTACAAAGTGCTGTTCCCACCTCAGAGCTGTCTCTGATGCTCTGCTCTGCCTCCAGATGATGCTGTCATTTGTTCCCAGAGGCCACATCTGTTGCAAGAAAGAAGCAACTATACCTTGTTTTGCTGCAATATCAGTAAAGAAAAAAAAAACAAACATTTAGAACAGTAATGATAAAAAAAAAAATCATTTTTTGTTTAGGTTGTGTTTTTTTCTTAATCTTTTCATTTGTACAGTTATTTTCAAGTTTTTTTTGTTTTTGTTTTTTTACAAAAACATAATTATTTATTTTCTTTTTCTTTTTTATCCTCTAGTTGAAACTCCCCAAAATCCCTTGAATTCATTCCTTTAGGTAATAAAAGGATATTGTACTATCCCACAGGTGTCTAATATCTCCAGGCTGGTATTTCAGCATCTGTTACGTCCATGTTCCCATGTGTGCCATTAGTCCCTGCTGCAGTTGTGGCGTTAGCTTTTAGCTTTAGCCTTCGGAGTCAAACCTGCACGGCAGCATTCAGAGGGCTATACCCGGGTGGTGGAGTGTGAGTGTGGGTGCGGCAGAGTGTTATTCTGCCCGCTGCCGGGGTAGGTGTTGAAAGAGTGGAGTGAGGTGAGCCCCCCTATGTTGCTAGGGATCATGGTAATAGTGTTTGGTGTCATGAGCGGGATGTCATCAGGCGAGCGCCTCATGGCAAGAGTGTAGTCTGGTGGGCAAGCAGTCCTCAGCACCACATCATGTGAATGCAGGCTGTCCCCAACCCCTCTGCAATCCCGATCCAGATCTGAGTGCTGTTTCATTTGCAGGGACATAATCTCCTCCTCCTGAGTGTGGGCCAGATCATTGGTGGCACTTCGCTGAGGGCTGCAGTGCCGATGGACGTCGTGCCGTCGCTTGTCCTTCTTGTAGTAAAGCGCAGCGAATGCCAGAATGTTGAGAAAGAGCAGAGAAGCTCCGACGGCAATTGTTACTGACAACTCGGTGGAGTAATCCCGTTGGTCCACCAGGTGCGGCTGGTTTTGGATGTCTTGGGATTTGGTTGGGAATGGAGTTGGGTTTGGACGTTTGGTGACCAGAACCTTGGTCTTCGGGGTGCGATTGGTGACATCTGGTGGAGGGACCTAAAACCACAATCACAACAGCAGATTTTTAGTCCTATTAAGTTGACTTTAGTTGATGTATTTACTTTGATTTGTAGTCCTATTAAGTTGACTTTAGTTGATCCTAATCTTAACATAACGTCAAATTTTGCTTAAACCAATATTGTTTCTCTTTCTTCTTATAAGAAAAAGCATGTTCTGTTTTTCATCCCATTTAACCCTCGTGTTGTCCTTTGGGTGTAGGTGACCCAGTGGGTGTGTGTGTGTGCATGTGTGTGCTCCTGTGCTGCACAGTTTGTGTCAACTTTTTCTCATACTTTGATTCTGGGACAAATGCAAACCCGTTGCGAGGACACTGGGTGTGTACAACATGCAAAGGACAACAGGAAGATAAAAATGTTCTAATTGTAAAACAATAAAATTAACAATAAGTCCATGTTTTTCCCCTATATTTTCATGCTGGTATACATAAGTATATTAGATAATTATTATTATTTATTCACATTCAAAATCCTGAACATAAAGTGTTCATCAAGTGGGCCAGGTTGAACTGCCTAGCGGGCCAGTTTTGCCCCCTGGGCCGTATGTTTGACTTCCCTGATTTAAACAATGATTTAGTTACCCTTATAATAATGACCAGAAGGAGAGAACCAATGTAATGTAACTAATGGTTTCATTATATTATTTTGGCAAGTTATATATTCCTTCTCTTGCGGTTCACACATAACACAGATTTTTTTTTTATTTTCAGCCAACCAGCCTTTATAATAAGATTTTACATTTTTTCATGAATTTGAAAATAATATGAATATAATAGCATGTATTTCTCAGGAAAAAGACAAATTATAAGAAATACAAGTAACCAACCTTTGTTGTGGTGGGAATCAGCTGAGTGACCTCGTTGAGGCTATGCAAATGAGGAACCAACTCCAACCATAAGTTGACCTGTATTGTGGGTCAGGGGTTAGAGTAAAGAGCTTTAATCACGATTATTTGGCAAAAAAAAAAGCTACTCTGCAATTATTTGAATGAATGCATTTGTACAACAGTCTACAAAAACTGTATTTTTTAGGAAGAAAAATATGTTTCAGAACAGTTAATGTTTGACATTCTTTTTGATGACACTGGTGCGTGGCACTTTGTTCTATTCAGACAGTTCATAAAATGACAATTTTAGGTTTAATTACTGCCATAAAAACGACAACGTTTTTTTCCACGTGGATTTACAGTGACCCATCTTACAAGACATGGCAGCCTACATTAAGTGCAATATTGAATTTACCAATCCTTACTTACAAGGACTGACTCTTGGTAGATGTTCTCTTTAAATACAACATTACTTATTCCTGCCACCCGTTGACCTGATGGAATATTTCATTTCAGACTGTTTCCGTTTGATTCACGGCTTTACCTTGTTGGCGCGATAATGCTCTTTGACCCGTGGCTTCAGGCCAATGTGCAAGTACAGTTGGTCTTTCTGGTTGTATCGGGTCCAGGCCACCTCTTCGAATCGATTGGGTTTGGTGTGGATGAACTTGGTGTCTTGAGGGACTGGCTGGTTCGGGTCCCTTCAAAAAGCAAAAGAAGTCGGACAATGCAGATGTTGCCTTTTTTTTTTTTACTATTATTTAAACCTGTTGCTAATGTTGAGAATATGTGTATATATAAATATATATACATACAATATATACATATTCACACATATACAGTATATTTATATGTATTCATCTTCTACTGCTTATTCCTTTTCAGGAATAATTCAGGAGCATTTTCAGGGTCGCATGGGGGCGCTGGAGCCAATCCCGGCTTTCTAGCTGTCATGTTAGGTATAAAGGTCCATTAAATCTACTGAGAGCCCCATTGTCTGGATTCGGTATAAAGACCCAGTCAGACTTATTTAGGAACACTCCTAACCATTCAAATGAATGGCATAAATTCCCCAGGTACCCAGCATCCCCTGTCAATTTAGGGTTATAAATGGAGATCATTAGATACATTTCCTTCCCCCAGGGCCACAGCAATGAACACGAAAAGCCACGTTTCTACAATGACTAGTCTACGGTCTACAATCACATCCATGATTATATGATAAATGGCAGCGAGGGACAGACAGGGGGGCGGATTGGATTTTAATTTTACTCTGTTAAAAAGATCTTTGGGCTAAGACCATTAATTAAGACTGTATTTGAGGACATGTAGGGGTGGGGGATCTGCATAGAATTCTGATTACACTGAACAGTCCATAAAATTTTATAGCCCAATTCACTCACTCCTCCTGGTCATGAAAGCAGTGAAAACACAATTACAATGAAATTACCTACAACTAGGTGGTCTTTCAGTGGCAGCTACTTCAAGAGTCACTTCAGGAGGAAACACACACAAAGATGGTTTTAACAGCCCTTGTTAGAATAATGATATGTATCTGAATGGGCTGGATGGGCTTTTAGGCTCATTATAAGGTATATATCTTTTTATATGACTAAATTTAGTCAAGACTCATTAATGAATAATGTAAATTGCTTAATTTGCATTTATATTTTTATCCCACCTTTTTCAACGTGCGCCATATTACACTCTTGTCAAATCTTGAAAACAAATATACACAAACAGTGCTAATACTAAATTGGTGAGTCACTGCTGCTAAAATCAAGCTGAAGGGCTAAAAATGAGTGCTACAGCAGTTTAATTAACGCAGTATTATATTTAATCAGTTTTCACTTGGTTCATCAATCTGCGTAAAGTAAAAAAATAATTATAATTTTTATAATATAATTTCACATCTAGAATGTAGATGGATTGGTCCTTAAACCCACCTTGTTACCTCACCTTGATAATTTGGGATCGCTTTATGATTGAGTTTCACATTCTCCTCAAATAATAGACAACAAAACTGCATCAACAGATGCTAATGGTTATAGCTGAATAATCTGTAACAATATATTTTTAATATATATTTTTTTGTCTATTCTACATTAAGATTTCGAACAAATATATCCCATGCTTTGGTATGTAGACCAACCGACGTCACAAATAGATGGAAAGGAAAATGGGTGAAGCACAGGACAAATAAGAAATATTTTAAAATGATGGTACCCTCTATTTTCCTGACTCCCATCTTTTTATTATTACCTTCTACCTCATTGAATACTCTCCCACGCTTTATCATCCAAATTCCAAATTTACTTCCCATGTCCTCTTATCTCCTTTGACCTCGAGTCAAGCCAAACACAATTCTTCTAGCTACCTTTATCACCAAGCTGCAAAAAAATGTTCTTGCCACCCTTTACACAAGTCTCTTTAACTCGCTTTTGTGTCTTTGTTTTTAATGTAAATGGTTGTTTTTTATGTTCCAATAGGTTCCAACCTATCCCTATTTTCTTCGGGATACTCATGTGTTGCCCATGTGTTGAAACTGACTGCCAAAGAGGCCAATCCCAGGAGGACCTCTGGACAGCTCACCGGTCCATTGCATGGACAACTATAGAGACAAATAACCATTCACACTCTTTGGACAGTCATGTCAAAACATACCCAGTTTTGGCGAAGTTTGTCCAGTATGTCATTACTACAGCGCTGAGCATTACGTCGTTCTTGGAGAAGTTACACGGAAACAGCTCAGTTGGTCCGATCATAGGCAATCCAAACACATATGGTATCTCATCTCCGTGTGATGCATCTGCCCATGGTGGCACCTGAGAAGTGGAATGTGAAACAGAACAGTATTGTTATTTGTGTGAGACAAGACCATACAAATCATAGTCATGTTCTGCTGCTGTGCAAATTGTAATGAGACATGGAACAAAGACATGAGAAAACACAGTATTATTTGTCTTCTTCCGCTGCTCATCCAAGTCTGGATCACGGGGGCAGCAGTCTTGGCATAGTAGCCCAGATACTGCTTTCCTCTGCAACTTCCATCTCAACTTCCAACTCTTTCTCCAAGTGTTCCTGGGATAGTCAGGAGGATGTAATCCCTCCAAAGTATCCTGGATCAGCCTTGGGCCTCTTCCCATATGAAAATCTTCAGAATACATCCCAAAAAAGATGTCCAGCAAGCATTCTAACCAGATATCCCGCCATTTCAGCGGACTCCTCTCCACATAGACGAGAAATTGTTCTACTTTAAGGTACAGTTCTTGACCAGTAAGGTACAGTAAGTAAGGGTAGGGATGTAAATGGATTGGAAAATTGAGAGCCTTGTCTTTGAACCTAGGTCTATTTTTATCAGAACTGAGTCAGCCTCAGTGCCAATGCCGCACCAATCTGTCTGTCTGTCTCCCATTTCATGTTCCCTACCTCGCATAAAACACATAGAGACAATTGGGCCACACTCTCCTCTCTAACCAACAGTGAGAATTTCCATCTTTCCTGACTGACAACCATGTTTCCGATTTATTGCAACCACCCTGGATCCGATGACCTGGTACCTTTGGGTATAGTTGTGTGGCACATAGGTTTGTCCCATGTACTTGTAGCTGGAACACATTCTTTGGTCCTGCTTTTGAAAAAGCGTACCAACCAAGCAAGTCTGCCACCACAGGGCCAACACTATTCCAATAATACAATGACATGTGAACCAAGACACCCCTACAACATCCAAAGCCTTTAGGTTCTTGTCCACCCATTGGTGTTTGATAGATGACTAGTAGTGCCAGCACAATATATCACGGGACTCTTAAATTTCTAGTGGATCTCACTACTGCATGACATTTCTTTTCTGTAGGTCAGCAAAAGGGACTCAAGAAAATAAACGTGATAAATGTGTTATCTTAAACCAAATTTCACTGTTATGTCAAAACCCGAACCCACAATCCTGAGAATTGAAATACTATTGAGAACCTGATAAGATGTATATTTGTATCGGTATGAGTCGCTGCCACCTAGTGACTGGAGGCTTGTAATCATTCAAGCATTACAGCATTTGCACACTTCTGTCCAGCGTGCCACATTCCATTAGAAGCCCCCCGCCCCAGTACCTCACTCCACTATTTGAGAAGTATTGCTGTACACACGCATCGTTTTATGATTTAGTTCTTACGTGGTTGCCCTTTTTATTACTGAAAGAAATTACATTTTGTTTCCCCTCACATTGCATATGATTCCCCTAAAAAAAGTAGTTTATTTTGAACAGAGAAAAAAAAACAGAATTTCTATAGATTAACATTTTAAAATGAGAGCAAATAACTGTATATCTAAACTTTATTTTCCCAGCAGAAAGCATCAGCTTGAGTCTCACCTGCTCTGTCTGACAGTGGTGGTAGAAGGCGTAGAAATATGTAGGAGACCCAAAGCTGGAGTGTAGGTCGGCTGTGGCAACAGCAGGTGCAACCCATTGGTGATCAGTGAAGAGCGCCAGCAGGGTCTTCCGTCGAGTCTCTGGGTTGTGCCTATCCGCCCAGTCAGTATACATGAATTTGATGGTCTCTCTCAGGATGTCCTTACCCTCAGGGTAACCATAAAGGTCGTCCACAAAGCTGGACACGGCGTAGTCAAAGTCATTGGCTTGGACCCCGTTTTCATTGTCTACTATGAGCTCCACGAACTTAAGACCCTCGCCTTGGTTCACACCCAGCATTATATCGTAGTTGAGGAACTCTCCTGGAAAGAGATGGGAGTGAGAATACAAATTTAAAAATAGCAAGCGCACGGTCAAAAAGTGTCAAGTGTCTTTCCAAATGATGCATCTTTCAGCGAAATCTAAAATTCAAATGATTAATATTATGTAACAACGAAGCACAATTCCACATAGCATTGATATGCAGAGAACACGATTTGGTGCAGTAAGTTGTAAGTATTTGCCGGTCTCTGTTCTTTTGGTTGGCTTCCAAAAACACACCTTGATGTACAGCAGAGCAAGATGTAAAAGATGAGATTAAAGATTCTGCGCGGTATCTCTGGACTGCAACCTTGTGTAAAAATAATTCAGATGTTGTACCTGGAATCTGTTGAAACTGCTCTCTGGGTTTTTGATGCTCTGATTACCACTGGCATTACTGCTTGAAATCCCCCGTCTTCTCTGCCTACCTTCTCAGTCCCCTGCATTTTTTTTGTTTTGTGCTTTTTATGTTCCTTATTCCTGATGTAACTGACATAAGATTTTAAGATATATAACTACCTACCTATAGCTTACCTTGGATGTTTGATATATATACGCTATGCCAGGTTAGTTGGCCATTACATAACACATATTTATTAATGATAATGTGATTAAAGGGGTTCAAGCGAGGCAGTTCATTGCATTGGTATTTACAGCACTGGATGGAAAATTCAACAGCTGCTGTTAAGAGTTGCTCTTGATATTGGCTTGATTTTTTCTTTATATATACCTACATAGTACCAGGCGCACCAGTATCCATGATTTGAGTATTGGCTGTTTAGGACCACTTCCTTCTTAAATTCCTACTTTGTGTTGATCTCTGATCTAAATCTACTTATGGATCTCCTGTGTATTGCCACTGGTTGATCTGTTTTTCTTGCTCTTGTCCGAGAAAGAGAAAATAAGAAAACTTGGGTGTTCCAGTCAAAGCTGAGGGTGGGTCTTAGGCAGTCTCTAGAGTCTAGAGGTAAGATCGACTTGTTTTTTCTTTGGGCTGCTGCTTCTTTATCACACACTATTTCATTAAGGCACAAAAAGATTAAGAAAAAGGTGCTTGTGAAAAGTAAATCCGTACCTTGCTCCATCAGTATCTGAGGGTCATCAGGTATAACGTCTCCATCGATAACAGGACCAAAGGCGATGTGGTAGCGTGCGGGCTGTATGTCTTGATCGACCAGCTTATTTGCCGGTCTCTGTTCTTTTGGTTGGCTTCCAAAAACACACCTTGATGTACAGCAGAGCAAGATGTAAAAGATGAGATTAAAGATTCTGCGCGGTATCTCTGGACTGCAACCTTGTGTAAAAATAATTCAGATGTTGTACCTGGAATCTGTTGAAACTGCTCTCTGGGTTTTTGATGCTCTGATTACCACTGGCATTACTGCTTGAAATCCCCCGTCTTCTCTGCCTACCTTCTCAGTCCCCTGCATTTTTTTTGTTTTGTGCTTTTTATGTTCCTTATTCCTGATGTAACTGACATAAGATTTTAAGATATATAACTACCTACCTATAGCTTACCTTGGATGTTTGATATATATACGCTATGCCAGGTTAGTTGGCCATTACATAACACATATTTATTAATGATAATGTGATTAAAGGGGTTCAAGCGAGGCAGTTCATTGCATTGGTATTTACAGCACTGGATGGAAAATTCAACAGCTGCTGTTAAGAGTTGCTCTTGATATTGGCTTGATTTTTTCTTTATATATACCTACATAGTACCAGGCGCACCAGTATCCATGATTTGAGTATTGGCTGTTTAGGACCACTTCCTTCTTAAATTCCTACTTTGTGTTGATCTCTGATCTAAATCTACTTATGGATCTCCTGTGTATTGCCACTGGTTGATCTGTTTTTCTTGCTCTTGTCCGAGAAAGAGAAAATAAGAAAACTTGGGTGTTCCAGTCAAAGCTGAGGGTGGGTCTTAGGCAGTCTCTAGAGTCTAGAGGTAAGATCGACTTGTTTTTTCTTTGGGCTGCTGCTTCTTTATCACACACTATTTCATTAAGGCACAAAAAGATTAAGAAAAAGGTGCTTGTGAAAAGTAAATCCGTACCTTGCTCCATCAGTATCTGAGGGTCATCAGGTATAACGTCTCCATCGATAACAGGACCAAAGGCGATGTGGTAGCGTGCGGGCTGTATGTCTTGATCGACCAGCTCCTTATAATGTTTCCTCTGCAGGCACATCACCAGCTCAACTGTGTCCTCAAGGTTACAGCCCACCTTACGGGCCAGCATTCGTGCATATTTTGCTGGTTGAAAACTGACAGCCCAGCTGGACAGAGCTGTGCCGCTTTGAGCAATGGCTCTCTGGAAGAGACCTGGAAATGCAAATGGCAAAAAAAAAAGAAAGGCATAAGCACTATATAAACTAATCACAAAGGGCACTGGCACCTGTCAATGACTATGCAAACGTGATCAGAAGAACAAGGAGACCCCAAAAATAATCATCTTTTAACCTTTAGTGGAGTTGCTCCATCGGTTGCCCTCGGAGTAGTGAGACAATGTGAGAAGGTTGACACAGGAGGCTCCAGCCCCAGAGCCAAACACAGTGATACGTAACGGGTCACCACCAAAGGCTGCGATGTTCTCACTCGTCCAACGGAGAGCCTGGATCTGGTCCAATAAGCCATAATTGCCTTTCGCTGCCTGGTCACCAGTGCTAAGGAAACCTGCAGTAGAGCACACAAAAGGACAGGATTAGTTCCACCTATTCTTGTATTATGTAGAGAGAAAATGGGAAAAAAAAAAAAATCTTATTGTATAAACTGTTACATTTTTCATTGCCTTTTGAAAGAAAGTATTTGCAATGGAAATCTATGAAAGGGTTTCTTTAAATATTGTCATTAGATCATTGTCACACTGTAAAAGTATTTTGAGGAAAGATATACAATGTTTAGGTGTAATATCAATCTTTAAAAAGGAATTATAAATTCAAAACAACTGACAGAGTCACTCATAAGTGGCTTGACAAACGCTTCTGGACTAGAAAGAGTATTTAATGATTTAAGAGGGTTTTTTTTCCCCTTTAAAACCACTCAAAGTGAAGATACGGTGAATATCACACACAGAGACTCCTGACTTTTAAAAAGTGTTGCCTTTTTTTTTTTTTTACCTTACACACACTTTATATTTCATTTAAAAATCAAGAGATTTATTTGTACAGAGCATGGTGATACTGTATACTAGGTTTGGGCACATTTTTTGATTCGCCAGCCACAATGGCTCCTAAAATTTGACAGGGGGGCCGGGTCAGGAGCAGATAGATGAAGGGTTAAGATAAATGACATGTAAAAGTCATGCATAAAGGCTAAAATGCTAAAATTCTTTAATCCTTTTCTACACCATCTGTTGGGGAAATGCAGAATATGCAGAAATATATTGATAATATAAATTATTAACATAATTTGGCGGGCCGGATAAGGCAAATGGGCCACATCTGATTTTATATGTATTACAATTCTTATAAAATAATTTATTGTTGTTGTATATTACACAATGAGATGGAAAAACATGGCCGTTATAAAGTGATGGATATAAGAAAAAGGGTTCACAGGTACATCACCAGTGATCCATAAATAGTTTTTATTATTCATACTAGGGCTGTTAAACAGTAAACGTGTTTAATCCGATTAATCAACATTCCTGGATACATTATTACTCAATTACAATGTTTTTATTTGCAACTAATTGAAACGATAGATAATTACTATAGAAATTGTCGAGAAAAATATGCAAGGAATAACTCGAAAACTTTGCGTCATAAGATTTGTAGGTTGTGGTAATTGCTGTAGAAAACTTGAGGGAGTTAATTCGGTGACGCCCTTGTTCTCACCTAATCAGTCCACAATTGCCCACAATCAGTTTGACAACTGTGTCAATCAGCTTCAGCAATCATCTGTAGACTAACTGCCCTGAGCTCAGTGAGACTGGTCCGACGCAGGTTTGAAACCCTGAAAGTTGAGGCCTTCACAAGCACGTGCAAGTCATTATGATATTATTTTTTAGCTCAAGCTGCTTCATAACAGAAACTTTCCTGCAGTTTGTATAAAAAAACCCTGTGTTTCACTCTGTGTATATGGTAAATGTAAAGTAAACGGACGGTGGAATTACCGGCTAAACTGTGTGCTTTATTTTGCCCAAGTGTTAAAATGTATTTAATTTTTAATCTGATTGGTCTAGATTATGTATCAAACTCAGGCCCGGGGGCCAAATCTGAAACAATTCTGCATTACATATCAAAAGAGAAGGGAAAACATGCACAATTTCAGTGAATTTTTAATTAAATATTAAGTGTGACCGGTGGCTTTGTCCCAGTTTTTTTAATTTTGGACCACTGTGAAATTGAGTTTGACACTCCTGGTTTAGATTATAAAATGATTTCACAAATGATTTAATGTAATTAATAGATTAATTTGACAGCCCTTTATATAGACATAATGTCAACCATTGAAACCAGAGTTTAATTGACAGCTCGATTTTAATCGGGGGAAAAAAAAAATTAAATTATTGAGCTCTGTTATTAACAGGAAGTTTAATTCACAAACCTTATTCGCAGAACAAAATAACACAAGCACTCCAGTACTTTAACAGTTGACATTTTGATAACACACTCAACACAAATAAACAGGCCACGGTGTCTGCAAACTCTCGCGCTGACAGACACATCCCTCATGACTATTTAATTAAGTTCATTCATTTTCCATTCCCTTTTCACCAACTTATTTATTTATATGCGTGCTCCTTGATCAAAGCCTAATCTGGTGGAAGCAACGGCAGCCATCAACAAGAAAGCTTTTAATTGATTCAATTTAGCTGCAGTGCGGGGATGGGTTGGCAGTCAAAAAGAGAGAGAAAAGAGAGAGGCAGGACGATTGGATGATTAGAACGCCAAGAGCGGTGCACGGGGCAGGAGGAAAGAGGCGACACAGACGTAAACATACATTTTAACCAAAGGATTTTCTGTCGAGGTAAAACAGCTACTTGTTGGTGTTCCTTTTTTGAGATCATTCGTTTGTTCGTCTGTGTTGTTTCTTCGTAGGTAAAGGGAGCCAAAAGAAAGTAGAAAGCTTAGGGATTTGCAGGTTGAATTTGCTAAGCAAAAGTGGATTTATTTTTTTGTTTGTTTTTGTTTTGAATTGATTAATTCACAGCCAGTACGTGGTTTTCTGGCAGCCTTTTTAATTACAGAAAAGTCAGACGATTTATGGATTTAGTGAACCTTGAGTCCAACTCTTAACAGATTATAGAATTTGTATGATCTGAATGTTAAGGCACTGCCTCTAGGAAGACATATTGAGTTCATCCTGACACCCAGACGTCGGTATTTTTCTAGTAAATCTTGATATACAATACATATTTTGATTTTTTTTTTTACCTAAAGATAGCAAAAACATAAATACTATAAATAAGAACAAGCTAAAAACAGATAATAAAAACACATTGTGTTCATTAAAAATGCTCCCTTCTATTGTTTTGTGAACACAACTTCAAAGTAAACAATGTTATGGTTACGTACTTCATATTATCCTGCCCCCTAGTGATAGAAAACAAGATGAAACTCGAGAGTGAACCGTGAGTGGATTAATGTTAACAAATATAACAGGAAAAGCTGTGAGCCGCGGTCTCAGCCAATCAACTCCCTCGTGTCACACAGACACGTTCGACAGACACATTCTTTTGCTGTTCATCTGACACCATAGACCACTATCTCGTACAAAGATATATATATACATATATATATCTTAGAAGCTCGATATATTGCCCAACCCTGGCTCAACCCAAACCATGCAAGATGTTTATTTTATCCTTGTTAATATTTATTTGAAGGTTTTAAAAAAAAAAAACATTTCTGTATAAAGAAAAAATAGTCTTCAAACTGACGCTGTCATCCAATTATACAATGTCTCAATTAAACTAGGAAATATACAAACCGTCTCCTGCTTTCCAGTACAACGGGTCACAGTGACACAGAGCTATTACCGTGCTCCAATTAAACAAATGAAACAAATGTTGACTAATACTTTTTCTCAGAGCAACAGAGCAACTCGTGTATCATAACAGAACAAATTTATTTCCAGCAAACACATCGAAAGCTACTTCTAAACTTTTGATATTGTTCACCTGCTTAAATGAACCAAACAGACACTAAAGTCCAGCAGGAAAACGTAACACGAGTCATCGCTGACTGGTTCACAGTATGATAGCAGTATCAATTCCATGGTATTACTACTCTTTCAACTAACTCTAAACTCACAGTATCCGTTTAAATGGATCATCAGAGTATAAATTGACCACCAACCGCACCACTATTTGAGAAGTACTGCTTTAAGGTACCGTAAAATTAAAGAGATACGTTCATGTCACATGACCACTGACAAGAAGGGAGCAGTGGCTCCATGTGATCAAAGTCATTGGTATCGAACAAAACTGACGAAAACAAAGAAAACTGTGTAAAATCCCAGTATCACCCACCAGTGTGTACTGGACATGAGGTCTGTATACTGGTTAACACTTCCACATTGGAAACACCAACTATGCTGGAGCTCCAAACTTATGAAAACACACCAACTATGCTGGAGCTCCAAACTTACAACAACCATTCAACATGCTTCACTGTTCACTGTTGCAGACGCTTAATATTATTGTAGAAGTATCCAACGACCCAATTACAGCACATCCTCTCCTCATTTATATGGGTATGGTATGGTTTACCTCTAATACAGTCAAAACATTCTCAAACGTCAATATAACAAACACAACAACTGTTTGCAACGTGTAATGCAGGCTAAAAACAGGTTGACCTCTGTAAAGGGTCAGTTTCCATCTTTGGGTTTGGCTTTATTTGGGATTTGAGCTCCTGACACACTCAATCTTCGTGTGGTGTGTAAGACGGATTGTACGTCGCAAAAAGCAACCCCCGGTGTTCAGAGAGGCTACAATATGGCCGTTCAGCCTTTAAGCTTCCAGGACCACAATAGTAAAGTAAACCTTAATCCAGGAATCCAGCTCTAATACCTGCTATCTCTGTCAAACCAGAGAAGAAGGCCAAACGAGAGAAAGATGGGATTTTCAATACTTTCTCGCACACAACTTTTGACAGTCACGGTCTGTATGTTATAATCCTCTGTATTTCCTCCCTCTCTTTCTCGATCTGTCATTTCCGGTCATGATGCCAAAAATAATTATTCGAGAATGTCCGCTTGAAGGATGGCTGGGCGGGAAGGTCACAGTGCTCCGTGAGAACAAATGAGAGTTGGATAATACTGTGGTAAAACAACGGAAGAAGAAAACAAGAAGATGCTGATCATGCATGTAGTACTTTGTACTTGAAATGATGAGCACACAGCAACAGATTAGTAAAACTATTTAACCATACAAACGGCGACCTTTTCGAAAAGCAACCGGGAGTTGGAAAACACAGAGCCATGTTTCAGTTGTAGTTAAAGGATTTGATGATAAAAAGGCACAAAGGATATAAAAGACATATAATCCTAAAAGAGTAATGTACTGTATAATACAATCATATAACAAGTCTTTACATACTCTGAATGTGAATATCGTACCCACCCAAATAAAGACATATATAGCTATACATTTATCCATCCATCCATTTTCATTCGCTT